TCTAGTACCAAACCTTGGAACGCACTCCCAGACTCAGTTGTATCCTCTCCTACCTTGGATGTTTTCAAAAAACGATTAGATGTTGCTCTTAGCTCCCAACATTTTGTTACCTAAACTCCCCTACTGTGGATTACGCCAAGGATGCATTTCAACAGGATTTATGTATCAAATGGACCTAAGTGAGCGACCATATTTTACTTTGCTCACTCTTTACCTCAATGATCACTGCACCCCAGTGTCTTTCTGAACGTTAACGCTCGATAATTTATTTTACTTTTACACTGATGTTACTTATCAAACTATTCATCTCGGCAGACGTTCGGTAGATGACCCATAAATATTTTGATTTCATCATATTCACCTCAACCATCCTACGGGACGTGTAAAGCACTTGCTTTTATCCCGTGATAAATCATTGTTCATTGTTCATTCTGCCGGTCTTTTTCCATCCAGGTTGGGGCACCACCCTAATAAATCAGCCATTTGGCTTGGCAATTAACATTTGGCCAACAACTTGTAGAATAATTCAGTTACAGCTGGTGAAATGATGGCTGTTGCCAACTAGAGAATAAACGGATGGAGATGATCAGTTTCTGTGGGGTTTGTTCAGTCAGAAATGGAGAATATATGTTGCTCAAATTGTTAGGATAGCTACCAAAGTTGTGGTGTTTCGCAGTTAAGAAACATAAAAAACTCTTTGCAGATTCCATTTGGTTTTTTGAATGAAAGGGCAGTGTGACTAGACACTGATGAAGAACCTGGCATTAATACTACGAGCTGCAACCAAGCCCTACCGCAGGTAGGGATCACATAAAGGCGATCATCCTGGGATTTGGAGAGCAAAACAGCATGCGGAATTTGAGCGGTTCTCCGAGCTGAGTGATTATTGTGCAGACGTTTCGTTGCCTGACTAGGCTACATCATCAGTGCGGCTTCAGGGGACTGGTTTGCAGTGCCTGTTAAGCTATTTCAATGCCCAAGTGCTTAGTGATCGAGTTCTGCTTGGGATGCCAGGCTTCAATGAACGCACGTGCTTGCCGGCTTTTAGACCTTCCGAGGATACTGATATGCTCTATGTCGATTTGAAGGTTCTCAGCATCCATATGCACTGACATCAGGGAGTTCTGATCGTGGCGATGTATGGCTAGGCTGCGTTCGTGTAGCGTTGTGCCAAGCTTTCTCCCAGTCTGTCCCACGTATTATTTGTCGAAGCGATGCTTTTATTGCCTTTTGGAGTCAAAGTTGCACACCAGCCAACGGAAACCATTCACAGTAAACTCTTCAAAGTGAAAGATAAACTTAGCAAAGAGGAAGAATTTGGTGTGATTTATAAGATATGCTGCAGGGACTGCGACAAATACTACGTGGGACAGACTGGGAGAAAGCTTGGCACAACGCTACACGAACGCAGCCTAGCCATACATCGCCACGATCAGAACTCCCTGATGTCAGTGCATATGGATGCTGAGAACCTTCAAATCGACATAGAGCATATCAGTATCCTCGGAAGGTCTAAAAGCCGGCAAGCACGTGCGTTCATTGAAGCCTGGCATCCCAAGCAGAACTCGATCACTAAGCACTTAGACATTGAAATAGCTTAAGAGGCACTGCGAACCAGTCCCCTGAAGCCGCACTGATGATGTAGCCTAGTCAGGCAACGAAACGTCTGCACAATAATCACTCGGCTCGGAGAACCTCTCGAAATCCGCATCCACACTCCGAGCTACGGATATTCTCATTTATTTCAAAGCAAAACAGTATTCTCAGCTAGGCGCGCTAATCCTCCATCCGTACGACCACAACTTTGTAGCATTTGTTTCACCTCACGAAAGTAAATAGATGGAATTCCATGCCGTCTTCCATAATACATTTTGTTATATATTCTTATCGACCCTCAAAGTATTTTTACCAGATATAATGCCACAACAATTCATTGATTAGCCACGGTTGGAACTTGCCACATAATATTGTCGATTGAATAACGGCGGTCACAGCTTCCCTTTCACGTGTCACCACCGTGCTGTTTCATTTTGACTAAGTACCCCAATCAATACCCAAATTATGAGTTATTACCCGTTACTGAGACATATCACATTCAATCAAGATGTGTGCAATGTAAACACTGACTGCGTCTAGCGGTACACATCAATTTTTGTTTTGACACTTTTATGGATTTAGATATTTGGTGTTCCAAACATTGGATTTTACGCGGTAAATCCGTTTTCCTAACTGAGGCAAAGCGACTCCAACTATCAAATTTTTATACACTACATGACCATATTAACGTAGATTAAATCGTTAAAAATGCTAGATCCATTTGCGATGATATGTTTCATCCAAATTGAAGATTGAAAAGAAATTTCAGCGGGTTTAACAGTAAATGTGAGATGACTCTAACGAATGTGAAATCAGCAGCGGCAGATTCAGGGTAGCTTTGTGCTATCCGTGACAATAGGAAATAAACTTCCAGTAACCGTCTAACCAGTCAAGAATCTTAAAGTCCATACGCGACCTTATTTGTTGCGGCATTGTGTACGTCAATTAATGCACCTCTTTTGGTACCAAGGGTTCAAGTATCAATTCTGAAAGCTGTTTCGCCATTTCGCGACTCCGTGGGAAGGGTTGAATCCCAGGTTAACGTTTCGAGGTGTATCAAATTCAATTAATGCCAGTCAAGATAGAATGTAAGTAATTCCGGACATGCAGCGACTTGTCCAGACAAATCGCCAACTATAAGTTCAAAATACGAATATACCACATTTAATTTGATCTATTTGCACTAGGCTTGACAAAACAATGCCGAGTAATGAATTACGAGCCACCGCGATCATATAAGGTGGCAGTGGGTGAACCAATAAGCATTGCTTTTGTTTTTTTTAAACAGTTGCTACAGAGTTCAGCGAATTTTTATTACCTTCATGTAAGCCTGGGTCTAGGAGAAAGTATCGTGGAGCAGCTGGTCAAGTCTGCCCAAGACGGAAAAATTTGTTAACTATTACACATGATTTGGGGTCAAAAATAATGATAGCATACGAAGCTTCAGCTCCTTGGTTATGCTGACCCGATAGATAGGAGTGCTAACTGGGAAATTTACAATGCATAAACGTGTTTTAAAAGAGCAATCACTCTTCTAAATCTCCTCAGGTATCTAAACAAAATGGAATGTTTGCGCACAATTAGCTAGTGAAGTGGGAATGGGATGAGTGGAATCACGGCAGTCAGAAACACAGCTTCTTGAAAGTTAAACTCGTCCATCCTTTCAGAGGGCGGGGCACATGTTGGCAGATCTGCGAATAATGCACCGCAAGACTTATTCTTTCAGTTTGCAGCAAGATGCTCTCATCTATGTTGTTTAAGTGTAAGTAAACACAGAAAAATTGACAGCGCAATATAAACGGGCAAATCTTGCTTGATGGATTCTAGTACAAACAGCTTGACGATGTAGCGATTAGATCCTTCTTGGACCTATCTGTACTGACACTTTTTTTGCTATGCTTGAAGCTGAACGTATAAGACCCATCAGGGCTTTGTTTGAGTTCTATTATCGGTGCACGGACGATAGGTATATATAGTCTGTGGTTCAAGTATGGATGGTTCCGACCTGTTAAGCCTGTAGCACAATGTTCATCCACCGTTAAAGTTTGTAGCGCCCCAAAGGATAACTATTATCTTTAGTGTGCAATTCCGCTGATGACCAATCACACACTATTTTTCTTGTTTTAATCTTCCCTACATTGCGTCCATGTTGACCTACATCAGGCTCGACACTTGACCGTTTTGTAAGTTCCCGCGCTAATCAATCGTCTTGGACGGAAGGTGAGTAAACTCATTCGTTTTCCGACAATGTACAATTAGTCTGGCGGCAGAAGGCCGATTACCGCGGGCATGTACCTACCTTGGCTCGTTTATGGTGAACGTCGGTCATTTACGATTGTTGTCCCCACCATCCAATAACCATCCAATGTTTAGTGAAATTCGCAAACTGCTACTGTGCATGCAGAAACATGAATTTCTTTCTCACCTTAGTGGTGAGGACGTATGCAATTCTCTGCAGACGAGTGATTTAGTGCAAGGCTCAGCTGAGTGCAGGCGTAAGCTGGTAAAGGACGCACCGACAGGCCATATGAGCCTGTTTTGGTCATCGGGCGAGAAGAGTAAAGAGAGTCACAACCTGTTTCCGGCGACCGTTAGCTGTCAGCAAACTTCCCACTGTGTGTTGACGATCATGGCTAACCGTAGGCATTGGTTATCTGTGTGTCTCGCTGACTACTCGGAGAAGTCGGCGTAGTCAAGATAAAGCCCGCAACCAAAACTGCGGCGTGAAGGTGCGCACGTGATGGCATCTCAGAGAACCGGGTGTTTGGGATTAGCTGCGGACGAGGTTAGGTATTGCAAATCATGTCAGTGTCAGTGAAACACTACCACAGGTCACGGGGCACGAACAGACAATGCAGTAGAGATCAGGTAACGTGCCTGTTACTCAGCGCACGCTGATTATTCGGCTCTACTGTGAATGCGGTCTAAACGCCGCATCAACTTCACGAAGGTGCAATTCAATGAACGCAGGAATGCGTCCAGTCACTGCACGTTACGTGCTTAAACTGGGGAAGAAATCTTAGAAAACTGGGTGTGTTTGACATGAACAGTGCACAATGAACAGTGATTTATTACAGAATAAAAGCAAGTGCTTGACTCGTCCCATAGGATACTTGGAGTGAATATGATTAAATCAAAATATATCTGGGTCATCCATCGAACGTCTGCCGAGATGAATAGTTTGATAACTTACATCAGTGCAACTTTAAAAATTCCAGCGTAAACGTTCAGAAATACACTGGGGTGCTGTGATGGTTGATATAAGGCTTGGGAAAAGTAAAATAGGCTAACTCACTTGATTGCATTTGATGCATAAATCCTGTAGAAAACATGCTTGGCGTAGTCCACAATAGAGGAGTTTAGGTAACAAAATGATGGGAGCTAAGAGCAATATTTAATCGTTTTTTGAAAACATTCAAGGTAGGGGAGGACACAACTGAGTCTGGGAGTGCGTTCCGGGGTTGGCAAACCAGAAGGGAAAAGTAATTCCGTCGACACGCTAGACGGCTATATTGTTGCTTCAATTTTACGCAGTTACCCCTGAGCTGCGTGTTGAGGCTAAGTTTCAGCAAGTGGCGGCTCATGTAGTTGGAGTCACTCAATATCTGGTACGCTGAGATCTCCGCGCAGCCTGCAATAGCGTCCCCTGAAAATTCCCAGCAACTTCATCCTTCAGTGGTAAGAGTGATAGCGGAGGCCCTTTACATACTTTATTGCTCTTCGTTGTGGTGCCTCTATCGTTTCTAGGTCGCGCTTCAACCAAGATGGCAAAGCTTAGATGGCATATTCAACATGCGGGCGCACCTATGAATTATGCATCATTGGGAATATTGATGGCTCAAATCTCCCGAATGCCCATCGCAGCATGCCGGCGTGCTAGTTGCCTCTCTTTGCAGCTACCTTCGCCTGTTTTGAACGGTTGAGGTCGCTGTGTACGAAGACATCAAGGTCACTTTCCTGGGAGCTGGTCTGCTATCCGTTTGTCCAAACAAATAGGTGTAGTTATGTCTATGGAATAATTGTACAATTCGACATCTGTCTACGTTGGATGGTTGGGCGTTTTGAACTGACCAGTTTGACACTGTGTTGAGAACGCACTGGAGACATTCGTTGTCGTCCGGTCCTCTGATCCTTCGCCATACCTTGATATCATAAGAGAAAAATAGGAACTCCGAAGCAATTGATCCCGCCAAATCGGCAATGAACACCAAGAATGGACGGAGTCCAAGAACCGAGCCTTGTCGTACTCCACATGCCAAATCGCGCGCGTTGGATAATGATTCGGACTCCCACCGCTAGCCGTTGTTCGTGTAGAAAATTGCTAATCCAACTCAGGACCGCCTCGCATCACCCCTGACGACTGTTCAACTTGCGCTGTAGTCAGTGAAGTGTGAAAAAGTCCCGATCTCAGCATTCGTATGATAGCACAGCACTGTGACACGACCCGATATGCGGTACACCTGATATTAGTAGGACGAAAATTTCGGAGATTTCGTGCACTGCAACTGCAGGTTTTGAACCCATGCGATCCGGAGAAGCGGCATGAATTTCGCCGCTGGTTTCTGGATCACGGCGATATTCGTTCTGTCATCTTTACAGATGAGGCACTGTTTCATCTGCATGGAACAATGAAACCTCATTCTTGGGCTACCAGGAACCCACGGAAATATACCGCATCACGTATGCACCACATTGTGAATCTGATGGTTTTGGCTAGATTAACAAGCCAGAAAATTTTGGGCCCATGTTTCTTTTCCGGGAATGTAACCGGTAGGTTGTTGTTTTGAAGTACTAAGGCCTTATCTTTTCCTAGCATCGTCGTACTTGGGAATGCTGCAGAAATTCGTGCTTCCACAGCTGGAGGCCGAAGGGGCGTACAGTACCATTTGGTGGCAGCAGGATGGTGCACCTGCACATTCTGCTAAAACAGTGCATGCTTAGCACACCGACAAAGTTGATCACTATTTGATCGGATGAGGTGGACCAATGAAGTGGCCTGCTCCCTCATCAGATTTGAACCTTATGGATTCATTTCTATGGGGTTAACTGAAGCGGCGAGTGTACAAAACAAGTCAGCGTACATCGAATCAATCGAAAGGAAAAATTGTGAACGAATTTCGCGCGACCACGAAGGGTACATTGGAGAAAGTGCTCGCTAAATGCATCAAGTGGTTTCTGTACTGCAAGCAGAAGGCCGGCGGACATTTTGAACATATCCATCACTAGCATAGATGACGGTTCCAGTACATTTCTGTTAATAAACTTACCATGTTTCGAAAATGTGGTAACAACTAAATTGGTTCACTGGCAAATGGTGCTAATAAAGCATCCGGTCGGATAGAAGTCTTAAGGTCCAGGCTGTCGTTGAACACATACACAGCGTCGGCACCGAAAAGTTCGATGGCTACTTATGGCGGTAGCTTAGGGGTAGCGGTCACAACTAACATTCCGATGGTCCCGGGTTCCATGCCTGATAACTCTATCTGATGAGCAGTAATAAAATCGAAACGCGTCATAGTAGTGCCGTGTTTTCGGGCGGCCAACACACAATTTCCACTTGCAACAGCAACGTATTCCTGATCGAAATACCAAGGTTCACTTCAATGGGAAATGCGGTCAACATTGAGATTGCGCGTCGTAATTAATCCACACAACATGTGCTTCAAAAATGACCCTCAACATCGTTCCTTCTACGGTTGTGCCAAGCGTTGCCCTTGACACGATGGCTTATGAGTAGCGGTCACAACTAAAATTCTGATGGGCCCGGGTTCCATGCACGCTAACTATATCTGATGAGGTGCAATTACATCGAAACGCGTCATAGTAGTGCATCGTATCCGGGCGGGCAATCCCCAAATTCTATTTGCAACAGCTACGTTTGTCGTGGTCGAAAGAACAAGGTTCACTTCCATGGGTACCGCGGTCAACATTGAGATTGCGCGTCGCAATTAATCCACATAACATGTGCTTCAAAATTGACCTTCAACATCGTTCATACTACCGTTGTGACAAGCGTTGCCCGTGACCCGGTGGCTTAGGGGTAGCGGTCACAACTGACATCCGGAAGGTGCCGGATTCCATGCCTGCTAACAGTATCTGTTGAGATGTGCTTATGTGGAAACTCGTCATAGTCGTGCAGTGCTTTCCATCGGGCTACACCCCATTTCTATTTGCATCATCTACCGTCCTCTTGATGGAAATACCAATATTCACTTCAATGGGAGTCCCAGTCAAAATTGAGATTGCGCGTCGCAATTAATCCACACAACATGTGCTTCAAAACTGACCTTCAACGTCGTTCATTCTACCGTTGTGCCAAGCGTTATCCGTGACCCAGTTGCTTAGGAGTAGCGGTCACTACTAAGATTCCGATTGTCCCGGGTTCCATGCCTGCTA